GAATAAAACAAACATTCTTTAAAATTAATTTCTTTCGACGATACNGAATTTTAAATGGATGATAATTCGCGAGCGTTGATATTTTCTAACTTTTACTTTTTTTCATTCGATAAAAGAAGAAAGAAATTCGATTCCTACGGGAGAGCAAAGAACACGGGTCATTGTCAAGGCGTCAAAATAATCTCTTTCGAACGTTTCTGTTGTCGAGAATTGCTATTTCGATCGGCGCCACACGTTAGTGTCTAGACCGTACGAGTTATTCTCGGCTCACGCTTTAGTACCGTAATAAGCGCGACAAAGACATTCCTTTGCTGCCATCTGTTAGAGAATGCAGCCAACTACTCCGTTTGATTGACCGCGCTCCGCGAGACCATCACACGGGAAACAACAGTATTTGTCCGGATTATGTCGCGCGAATAACTCGATGGGAAACGAGGCAACGTTAATTCGAACCGTCCCACCACCCCTCTTTTCCTTTGATTGCTCGCTGCTGATAATCGTCGGCATTCCACCCGTTGAATAGCAACTCACCGAAACGCGACCAACAATACGCTTTTGTTTCGCTGTTTCCTGATCGTTTACCGATATGCTTCTCCGTATAAGAAAAAAAACTATCGAGTTACACCGATGAAAATCGTTGCTCGAGTTTCGCTTCGACGAATAAGTTACGAATAATAAAAAAAAAAAAGAAAAGAAAAACTGTTCGCTTACCCATCTCCCTGAAGTCTGTTATCGACCACTTGAGAAGGTAACGGAGCTGACAATTGCCTGAGCAAATCGTCCCATTCCCTCTCCTTCTGTTGAACCTTTTCCTGCAGCCTTTGCTTTTGCTTTTGATACTCTTTGAACAGATCACCGTTGTAACTCTGCTCCAGATGATCTCCGCCCAGTGAGGCTCGGACAGGAATCGCGGTTGGCTCCGTGATCTTTGCCGCGACGCCGGTTGGCTTCTCCGCCAAAGAATCTCTTCTCGAACTTCTGGCGGTCGACGGAGCCGGTGATTCTCTGCCGGCAACTCTACGCTCCGGCGTGGAG